TAGAAAAATCTGGTACTTCTTTAAAAGACAGGCAACATATATAATCAACATTATATTTGGCGAAGACGGAATCGTTTTCAGCAAAGATGATCTTCAGCATGTAGTCAATGCTCTTTGGACCAACAACAATTCAGAGTCAATTAATAACATATTGAAACAGGTTGCCAATTTCAAACAGCATAAATTACCTGAGTTTGTGGAAAACATGGCCTTAGTGTTTCAAATGCAGATACTTGATTTAGGACGGATATTACATGGAACTGGCAACTTTAGGCTAGAAAGCAAAACAATATCACTTGAGGTAGACCAGGAAATTTGAAATTAAAACCCACAAAAAGAAAAACACACATATTTCCGAACCAAAAGAAAGAATATTACCCGCTAAGGTTTCAGGCACAGACTTCTCGTGCCCAATGCCGAAGCAAAACTGTGGCAAAAAGCCATGTCAAAGGAAAGACAAAAATGTAAAAGATCAAGAACAGTAAAAAAAAACAATAGGCCAGTTCCATGAGTGTTGGGTCACAAGTATGTACTGTACAGGGCATATTGTGTTCTTCATTTCCCCCCATTACTCTTATGCTACATATTTATAGACGATTGTATTAGTAAATCACAACATGATCCGCTATCTCTTCAGATATTGCTTTTCGCAAATGGACATGTTGTGTCATTCATTTATTTAATTCTATTTAATGTCATATTTTTCATTCCCATTTTTCTTATTATTTTATATTATTGTTTAATTTCCACGTTAAATCTCTCAGGATTTTTCGTTTAATTTTTATCATATCGTTTTCATAACACACTTCCGTATAAAATTGTTTTATCTCAATATTATATCAACTGATTCGAGTGTTATTTTGTCTACTCTCTGACATTTACCAGCTTTATAAACATTGTGTATATGTTGGTCACTCCCCACCATCAGTTGGGGGCTAATGTAGTCACCCCGGCTTTGTCCTCCTTTGGGTTTAAGATTTTTAGCAAACTTTTCCAGATAGAGTTAGATCACCACACTCAATATTTGACTATTATGAGGTTGAGGTATTTATATGGAGGTACACATTAAATGTACGGTAAGCAATGTGCTGAACCATTACTAATATTGTAGAGGTCAAAAGCAGCTTAATTGGACTTGGTATTGGTTCAAGTTTTCTAACAATTTTTCTGTGCATTATTAGATCACCACATCAATTTGTAGTTGGCTATTACATGTATAAGGCCGAGTCATTTACATGGTGATGAGCAGTGTGCTGAACCATAATTAACATTCTAGGAGACATATTCTAAGAGACACATTCTAGGAGAGACATTCTAGGAGACACATTCTAGGAGACATATTCTAGGAGACACATTCTAGGAGCCATATTCTAGGAGCCATATTCTAGGAGAGACACATTCTAGGAGACAGATTCTAGGAGACACATTCTAGGAGACACATTCTAGGAGACAGATTCTAGGAGACACATTCTAGGAGCCATATTCTAGGAGAGACACATTCTAGGAGAGACACATTCTAGGAGACAGATTCTAGGAGACACATTCTAGGAGACACATTCTAGGAG